TGTGTCAAAAAAGTTTGAAACTCAGGAACACAGACAATAGTGTGGTGAAGGCCCGAGGGAGCAGAGAGGGGGCAATGGGGGGAAAAAGAGGACACCTGTAAACAATAAAGATAAATTTTTTTTAAAAGTTTGAAAACTTCAGACTCCTTCAACGACTGAATTATAGCATGTATTTCAACTGAGCCCTTGGAGGAGAGATCAGGTTGCAGAATTGAAGTACTTGTTGGTCATCACTATAACAGTGTAGCCAGCACGATGTAGCAGGCATCCATCTTGACAGTTTAAAACTATCCTAAGTATAACTTCTACCCACCAAGCAGTAATCAACATTGTATGTGTGAAACACAATGTACACTTCTCAGGCCCTCCATTGCCTGGAAGAACTGACTGTCAAAATCTTGACTATTTCTGTTATTGAATGTGATAATGCTAGAAAAATAATGTTGATAAAGAATTCTCCATGCAGTCAATCTTTATTATAGCAGTATTCGCATATTCACATCAAGTACATAGAACTTTTTTTGCCTTTTATATAATACAGAGTTTTTAAATAACTTTACACAGAAATAAATTTTTTCAATCTGAGTTTCAGCTATCTTTATTTAATTCTTCATGCTTTCTATCCAAACTGAACAATATTTTCCATTGTACAAATTTACATGAGAAAAATTCCAAAGTACAAATGAAGGGACCTGAGCAGGAAAGAGAACCAAAGTATCAAGAAGTGGGGTTGGGGAAGAATTGAAAAAAAAAAAAAAAAAAAAAAAATTAAAAGAAAAAAAAAAAAGATTCAAGCACTGAGGACTAAGGGGCAAGAGGGAGACGACATCCATTTGACTGAAAATAAATGTATTTTTTTATGAATTGAAAAATAAGTTTTAAAAATAGTTACTCCATAATTTTTGCAAAGCAGGTATAGAGAGGTCTGTGGACAATTAAAAAGTCCCCATCTTTCCAGACTCCATGAGAACCTTTTCAGTTATTGGAACTGAAGTGCACTAAACCTGAACCTTTGGCAGCGAGAGAGGAATGTGTATGAGAACTGCCACACGGTTTGGAGTAGTAAACCTGGAGCCATTTCCTCGGTTAAAACATGAAGGATTTGCCTTCTCCTGTATAGAAGAATTGTCCTCAAACCAAGAAGGTAAATGAAAAGGGGGGTGATGTCCTTTTTCTTGGTCTAAACTAAAGAGCAATCATAAGTACTGTATAGAATCAAAGGAACGTGTTGGTAAACGGTCAAATTCAACCCCCTGACCAGTTGTATGCTCCTATTTTAGAAGCAGAAATTGCTGAGTGAGGAAAGGTTCAGAGTGTACAACTAACAAAAGATTACCACACAAACAGATCACTGTCATAGTCCTTCCAATCGGGTGACATCACGAAGGCCAAACAGACTAGTGTGTAGCATGGCCAAAGGAAACAGGACCCAACAAATGCATTTTCAAATGGAGGGAAAAGGGCACAGCATAACACAAACCCCCCCGTATGTAAACTAATGTAACATGAAGATACACAAACATAAAGGTTAGCCACTTATGTTGGTAATTAATGTGAATAAAAAGGCATTACGTTTTCATAGCTGGTTTTAATCAGCTATGTCCGGAACACACACAAATGTATAACGAAGGAATGATTTAAAACAAAACCGTTCACAGCTTAGAAAAGCACACTTATTGCACTCTTACATTTTATTTCAGATAATTATGGTTTATTTCCCACCCTCACATCAATTTTTCCCTACCCTCAGAGTTACTCCCACACCCTCCCCTGTCCTATTTGGTCCATTTTCTCTTATTTGTGCCTAGTCTGTGAGCTTTGTTGCTTATGCTAGTTTGAAGTTTCCTCCGATGTATCTCCTACTCCACCAAACCACACCCGGGTTAAAAAAGCTTAATACACAAATGCAACACAGTAATTTTCAAAAGAAAACCAGTACTAAGCAACTTACTCATAATCCCCATCTGCACCCCTGTAACCAGAACCCTTCCTCTGCCACATCTCCTAAGTGAAACCCATGCCCGGTTCCCACACAGATACCGTGCTGAGAACCAGCCACTCGTGGGTGCTGGACAACCCACCCAGCCTGCCAGGAGATGCGGATGGTTTGCACAAATCCTTTTTCACTTTTTTATACCTAACAGGAATAAATATATTTCAGTTCTTTGTTCTTAAAGAGTATTTCAATCTTTAGAATTCTTTCAAAAAATGCATCACAAAATAACAGATACACTGGCTGTGTACTCATGCACAACTGGTAATACCATTGTAATTAGTCAAAACAGCTAAATAAAATTAAACATTTTAATAAAACTGATTTAATAACTAATAAGACTAAATCAACAGTTGAAGTTGTGATGCTAAAAGATCTACTTAAACATTTTTTGAGGTGGGGACTAACTGTCCCTATGCATTTAAAAATAAAGCCCTGTGACCTTAATTTAAGAATTTAGGAATTAAGTTTTTGTCCTTTTCTATCTTAAAAATACCCAACAGAAACTGTTAACTACCCTTTCTACAACTGAGAAAATTTAGGACTGAATTTCAATGTAAATATCTTTGCCAAACAGAAGTAAAAATAAGTTATCTGAAAACAAAACAAAGCTTAGCTTACTGCCTAGTGTACTGATACCACAAAAATCTTACAGCGTTTTCGATTTTACCAGAGCTAGCAACATGGACCATGGATACACTGGCCACGTCATTCTCCGGTGGCCAATATACACATCAGGCAGCGATGCTACCGTACTCTTCGGGTGCTCAGTGACCTGTGGGTGTAGTAACACCCCTCAGTGAACACCTTGAGAACACGCCATGACAGTACACTGCCTTTCTTGGGGCGGTGAGGAATGAAGATACAAGAAGCATACCACGGAGTGTGTCCAGTGCACAGTAACTATTCCAATGCTTCCTCATGAAGGAGGCCCCGACACCTCACAGCACCCCCAACAGGATTAGCAGCACAGTCCTGCTTAACTTGCCAACCAGTCCTGGAAGGCAATTGTAATGTTTCAAACTCTGAAAAATCCATGTCTAGGTTGGCAGCAGTACTCTGGAGACTGATAAAATCTAATTCTGCCCCATATTTTAATTTCTTTCCCCGTTCTAAGTTCACACACGCAACTGCTGCCCAGCATACAGTACTTCAACCTTGAACTACACAATTTCTTAAAATGTCTGTCAAATATTTCTGTTATATAAAAATTCCATGCTTTGAGAACCTATGGGAGTAGAAAAAGTTTCTCTAGAAATGTCACTGAACTATAATTTCAACCTATTTGCTCTATATGATAAATATATCTGACTATACTAGGGGTTATGTGCTTTAAAAAAATAATTTTGTTCACTGAAAATTTACCTGTGTTTTCATTTTTTAAATGTGATTTGGCTATAAACTCTTTAGTGCATTTATCTTTGCAGTCTAAATTGCACTCTAAAAAATATTAACACAGCTGAGTTAGACCAGAGTGGCTGCTCTCTTCACAAATCACTGATTTCTGCTAAAATTTTAGCTTTTTTTTTTTTTATTGCATCATGAAGGCACAGTAAGATCATTTGGCAAATTGTCAAGGTATTTTTCTACAGCCTCACCTACACCATTTCAATGTCTGATCTATAAGCTATTTCGTGTTCACACTCAGTAAACCTTCCATGTCTGGCTATGTGTATGTTTTTAAATAGCCTAATAGTTGGAATCTGCTGGTCTCCAGGTGCTGCTATTCTAGCACTAACAATGCCAACTTGGACAAAGAAGAGAATCTTGCAAAACGGGTAATCACTTTCTCCCCCCTTAGCTGGGCAGTCGGTCGAAGTATCTGCACATGTGACAAGGCTGTGGCTAACTCATTATGAAGGTGCACTGTCCTGCCAAGCCCACTGACAATTAAAATTATATCATTGTTAGTGAAGTGATACCGTAACTATTTAATTTCATGCAACTGACTTAAGGTTGATATTCTGAAACGTACCCCTAAACAGGTTCTGGCACCATTTGCAACAACATTCAGACACTCTGCTACATTTTTCAGTATTACTGCCTAAATGTATAATGCCCTTCAGGACAAAATGAGAGCGTTCAAATACAAGCACACATAAAAGTTAAAATCCTAAATCATCTTCATGTTCTAGAGCTCCTGACTTCATATTTTAAATAAATATTCATTACCTCATTCTGAGGAGGTAGTTTTTTGAAGAGGTCACCTGAACTCTGTAGTATGTTTCAAACTAAAGCTAGATGAGGTTTGCCCGAGGCAGAGGGTGAATGTACAGGGGGGGTGGTGAGGCTGAGGAGGGGTGTGCAGCAGTGCCAACGTTGCCTGATGAACAAATGATAACATTATGTGATTAAGAGCTGTGACCATATCCCATGAGAATCTAGGAAATATTTAGTTTCAGGTGGACAGTGGTGAAGTCCTGAATTATCTCTTTATAACTAATCTCTTTCTTCTCCAACACCAACATGAATATAACACATATACTTCATATATGTGATTTTATCTTCTAGGATGTTCCAGTACATCCTATAGATCTCACATACAATCAGGGACTGCACGTCCAGGAACCAGATTTTGACAGCTAGACAGAGCCTTCTTTTAAGGTGCACACAAGTACAAAGAATCACACTGGATTTTTCTATTCACAAATCCCTTTTATAAACTACTTTTTGGTCAATATTATTTCAGTGGCAAAAATCTACACCCTAGACCAGTGATGGCGAACCTTTTGAGCTTGGCGTGTCAGCATTTCGAAAAACCCTAACTTAACTCTGGTGCCATGTCACATATAGAAATTTTTTGATATTTACAACCATAATAAAACAAAGACATATTTTTATAGTTACTTTATATATTTAAATGCCATTTAACAAAGAAAAATCAACCAAAAAAATGAGTTCGCGTGTCACCTCTGACACACGTGTCACAGGTTCGCCATCACTGCCCTAGACTGTAGTTTAATGATAAAGTCCATCAGCTAGGAAAAAACAAAACAATACAATTCCATCAGGATTAAAACAATCTTTTATGGTTACTCTCAAATTTTTCAGGCTTCACCTCTCCTTACCCAAAATAAAAGGCCCCACGGAAGGCACTGCAGCACTTTACGGAAAAGACAGATAGTTACCGCCTTGGGAAATAATCAGTGAAGCAGCCACATGTTATCCATTCAATTACTCATAAAGTGCTTTGCACGTCAAGGAGTTCTTCCTTGTATTTCTTAGGAGCTCAGCAAGTCTATCTGTAGTTAACCATCGGACAGTAAAGAAAGTGAAACTCAGAGGGAAACCCCTTTTTCATGTCAATTGTAAACTAGAGAAAAAACAACTTGATGGAAAAAAGGAAAAGGGAAATTTTCAAATTTTATTTTGTAAGGGCTCTATAAAAATTTCTCAATAATACCACGAGCCTGGCTTCTGGGCACAGATTTGAGATAGAGTCTGTTTCTCCTTTTCAAATGAGATAGCAACCTTTTCTAAAAAGAAAGAGAAGAAAAAAGTGTATCACCTTGAACAGTGTTTGGAAAACCCCAATGCCAAGCTTCCTCCAGAACTAGGTCCTGTGCTGCTCCAGCCATCCAGGCAGTCCCGCACCTGAGCCTCTAGCAGCTCTACCTGCTGAGCAGACATGCCTATAGTTTAAGACCAGCTCTCTGCAATCTTGGTACAGGGAACACAAGCATGTTTAAAAGCATCCATGGCAGCATATTTAGAAAGAAAAATAGACAATGCTTTTAAAAGAGGCAGCATTATACATACAAGATGCTCTTCAAATGAGCATGAACCATTTTACATCTTTGTAATTTCTGAATTTTGTTAAGATACTGCTCTGCTCATGTAAGACTTAAGAACACATTGATTTTCAAATTCACTAATAGCTTCAGTATACTTTCCATTCTACTGGGACAACCTTTTACACGTCCGTGGAATTTTCCTGTGAATACAGGTATTTTAGCAAAAATCTAATGGCAGTGAGTGTTAATAGGCTGAAAGATAGCAGGGTGAGTTACAATTTGAAATTTTAAAATAATAATTTCTAATTCCCTGCTTTATTTTATAGTCCTATCCAATTTCTCTCAGATCCTTGGCTACCTAGTTTGGTTGGGCTAAGTACATTTGATTTGATTTACATTCCCAAATCCAGTAAGAGATTCTAGATCCATGATAAGGGAGGTATTTGCCATTAATATGTCCAGAGTCACTTTCTTTGCTACTACCGTGACTTACACCACTCTTTAGTAAATGCCAAAGGAAGCTATGGCTAGGTTATATTTTCCATTTATATAAAGAAAAGGAATGAGGTTCTTAATATCACAGCAGCTCTTTCTGTAAAAACAATTGACGTTAGGCTTCACACATACTCTCTCAGTCCCAATACACCTAAAATTGCTCTATTATCTGCTTGGGGAACTCAGCTGCCAAATTACCCAACCTTTTGAAGACCAGGCTTGGGAAAAAAGGAAAAAGAAGAATGAATGGAGACACCACCATTTTTATTTTAGGTTGTATATTCTAGGTAAAAGAAAATGAGGATGTAGTGTAAGAGTAAACTGGAAGAAACAATGAGATATTAGCAAAGATGTTAGTGTGGATCCAGCAAGTACCATTAATTTAAAAATTATAAATATCTGTCATATGCTAAGATTCCCCATGTTTAGGTAGAGGAAGGATAATGATTTTTCTTTAAAAGTTGTTTATATAACAAAAATACAATTTTTCAGGATATATAATTCTAATGGGAAGTGTTGTTTTATTCCAATTCAATTAAATCTGAAAATTATTTTTTTTAATAAAAATATAATAGAAGAAACTCAGAAATTAAAACTTGTACCTTACATTTAAATTACATAAATGTCTCACATTCAAAACTGTTATCAAGCAGTTCTGTAGGCTTTTAACTAAATACCACCATGGCATTTTTGTGCCTTGGGCAAAGTAGCCACATAATTACTTGGTGACTGGAAGAGCTTAGGAGGAAGATTTTCCTGAGAACTTGCTATATTGTGGAGGGAAAAAACCCCAGACACTTCTCTTCATTGCTGGACCCAATGAACAAAGAAGGCAATGTGTGCCAGCACTTTCCAGCCTGCGTGGGTAGGCAGACACCCTCAGTGAGCAAGGAAACAGAAGGCCAGAAACCCAGGAGGTCAGGAAAAAGATGCAGCATTCCCTTTTCCTCTGCACCGAAACGTAGCTCTGTCTCCCTCTCATTCTCCACTTAAATAAAATAGCTTCATTTTAATAAAAATGAGTCAAGGACTGAACGTGCACCACACAGGTAGGGCATGCTGCATTTTTGTTCCGTCCCTCAGAAATTAACCAGTGGTGGCTAGGGGAAAGAGCTCCACAACAGACTCCCAGAACAGGAAAGAGAACGATGCTTGGTGATTGCAACTGCCCCATCAGATGATCAGCCACACATTGATCTGGTGGTTAGAAGGGCACAGTCGACCGGCAGACTCCAGAGCCAATCTCCCAAGCTGTAGCAGCAGTGTCTTTCCATCATGCCTGACCATCAAAAGGCCAGAACTCAGGGTCTCTCGTCTTCCTGGGACTGGGCAGACTTGTATGCACGTGGTGTTTGTGTTGAAGAAGAAACACTGGCAGCAGAGAATTCTGGTTCCTAAAACATTCTTCCCTCTTTTCTTGGATGGGAATTTCCATTCTGTTCCACATCAGCTTATGAATTGAAAATTTCATTTCTTTAAAAAAGGATCTGAGGAACAGAACTGTGTTTGATGTTAACAAACTGTACGAACACAAGACTTAAGAAATAAGGGTAGATGCTGCCATGATGGTGTGGCTACTTGAAGGCTGCAAATTCTCCTGTAGAGGGAGGACAAGAGCTAATTTTAAAACAGTTACCTTAATTAACCTAGGTTTCTTAATTAACCTAGACACAGAGAAAAGCCTCACTGAAACCTCACTGAAAGGTGACTAGCTGTCTATTACAAATCTAGCAACATCATCATTAATTTAAAAAGCAAAAATGGTTGAAACCCATGAAAGAAGACAACTTGCATAGTACATAGATTATGGTTCAATTACATCAATTAATCAGTTAACTGCCATGCGTCCGAAACGGAAACCATTCCACACACCACAATATTTTGAATTAAAAAAAATCAATTTGCAATGAATATTATAAAAATAAATATATTACAATTCGGGTGTTCTTGAATATTTTCAGCTGAAAATTCTCATGAAAAATAATTTTTAAAGTCGGTCAGGGCTGCTACTTAGGGAAAACATTTTTTTTTATAGACGCACGTGGCCTGTGTGGAAGGTCCGCCGCTTGCTTCTATCGACACTTATGGCGTACAATGGGTTAAATATCATGTCTGCAGATAATTTCCTAGTTGGATTTTACATGCTATGGTTCTAATCAAGCTGAAAACAGTTCCAATGAACAATATATCTCAGAAATGGATTGTAAAATAGTAGGGTTGGTTTGCCCCTGAATTATCAACTCATTTCCATTATAATGCCACTATTAGAAAGGAAGAAGCAAAAATTATCCTCATTTGCAAAAGATAAAATTAAGAGGTCAAATGATTTGTCCACATTACACATCTGACAGCAGGAAAGAAAGCCCGACCCTCATCTTCTAGTTCATTTCACCTTTTAAACTACCAATAAATTACACATAGGCACATGTCACTGGACATCATTCTCAGCATAAGAATTCTTGAAACCACGATGTCTGTTTGAGGTACGACACTCCGTTAGCTTACTAAATTTGGGGGCTTCATAGAAGGGCCATTATTCACCTACCACTTTGTCCACAGCTTCTACTTATAAGTAGAGGTTGGTTCCTCTTATTATATACACTACTAGAGGCCTGGTGCACAAAATTCGTGTACTGGGGGGCGGGGGGCGGGGAGGGTCCCTCAGCCTGACTTGCACTCTTGCACAATCCGGTAGCCCTCGGGGGGATGTTCGACTGACAGTTCCCATGGGGAATGGGCCTAAGCTGGCAGTCAGACATCCTTAGTGCTTCCCAGGAGGCAGGAGAGGCTCCCGCCACTGCCTCTGTACTCATCAGCCATGAGCCAGGCTTCTGGCTGAGCAGCACTCCCCCTTCGGGAGCGCACTGACCACAAGGGGGCAGCTCCTGTGTTGAGAGTCTGCCCCCTGATGGTCAGTGCACATCATAGCGGTAGTTGAGCTGCCTTAGCATATCATTAGCATATTACACTTCGATTGGATGAACGGCTAACTGGATGACCAGACAGCATATTAGGCTTTTATTAAATAGGATAGTTAATTTCTGGGAGTTGGTTAATAACTGAGAACTATCAGAATTTAGTCAGCCTTAACATCATTTTTCAGTAATAGCAGCTTCTGAGGAGGATTCACTTATATACTATAAGTGAATAGTGTATTCACTTATATGAATACACTGTTTAATCCAAAAGTAACCTACTCATTTTCTGATTGCTATTAGATTCTGCTTACTAGAGAATACTGGCATATTCCAACAACCAACAGATTGCCAATGGCTGACTGAACCCTGAGATTGTATGTTGTTAATATTAGCAACTAGTTGAGTGCCTGTTATATATCAGTGAGGTCACTGAATACCTTATATATGTTTGCATCTGATCCTCCTAATAACTCTACAAGGCAGGTGCTATTACTTCTCTTCATTTTACAAAGGAACAAGCTGGGGTTTACAGTGATTAAGTAACTTGCCCAAGATCTCACAGCTAGAAAATGGCAGAGTTGGAATGCAAAGCCAGGTGCTGACTCCAAAGTCCAGGGTCTTAACAATTAACAAGTCCCTAAACAATTTTCAATAATTAATAATTTGTTTTCCCATTTTGAATACAGCTACTAACTGGGCTGCAGATAGTGATACTATCTCTTTCCACCTAAAGATTTCTTTTAACAAACAATCAGCCAAGGTACTGTGAGTCAAAAGATCAAGGAAGAGTAAAAGAATTATTACTTCATACTTAAATTTAAAAGGAATAGGAAGTTAGGCACTGATTAAAAAAATAGCCAAAGTACTAAGACCTTAGAGAGTAAAACATTTAGAGCATAACCATAGGAGGATATTATGTTAATAGAGACTCAAGAAATATATAAACATTCTCATTATGGTTTGAGTATCTTATAGTTTTAAGATTGCTTTTTTTTCCCAGTATTTTAACACATTTCTTAAAAGCATTTTTCAACATTCTTATGAGTAGTCACTGTAGGAAGCCAATGTAAAAACAAGATTTACTTAACAGAAAATCTTCATAAAAATGCTAGAATTCATCTATTAAGTGAGAATATCAGAAAATGACAACTTTATGCCAAATCCTAGATATTACATTAAAATATAACCTGGAAAAAACCTTCAATGTTTCTTATTCATTATTACAATCAGACACTCCATTTTGTTGAATAGTGTTCTACTCCATAAACTTGAACATTAGCCTTAAAAATAAAAATATCCAAAACACCCCAAACATACAAACTCTTACCAACATAGTGGAAATAGAATAGCAGTAAGGCGACCACTACTGATCATCCCACCCGAGTCACTGCTTTTAATGGAATGTAATTCTTTTCATGCTCAGGCTTCAGCTCGAGAAAAAGATAAGCACAAAAAGAACTTCGAGTTTAGGGATCAATAAACTCTTTCTATATATGTCCCTGAAATCATGGAGAAATTTAAGAAAAAGATGAGGGTAACAGGTGATGGATCTGTTTTGGGGAAAAAAAAAATATTTTCTTACTTAGTCTTTCCTGCATTACCTGGCAATCTCTATTATTATCCCATCTCCTGACTTATTTTATTTGAAATAAGAATCAACTCTGCTTGTCTGAAGTTATTTGAAGTGAAATATCCAGATACTCTGATTAAAAAAAAAAAAATCTCAGTATATTATTAACTGAAAAATCAATCAGAGGCCAAAATAAAGCTTAAAACAAACAAACACCTCCTTTCTGGATGAGAAGCAGCTAAGCTCTATTTTCCATTCGACTTTATTAGGGATAGGGCAGAGAACAATTGGGAAGACCCTGTGATTTTAGACACTTCAAATATCATGGTTTATTTGAAAACTAAGAATTTTATTAACTAGTTTTAAGATATTATTAAATCACTACATTTTATTCCAGAATTGAATGCATTTTTCAGTGGCTGTTATACATATAATTTTATAAAAATTCCCCTTAAAGAGAAAATATGCTATGAAGCCCTAACCGGTTTGGCTCAGTGGATAGAGCATCAGCCTGCGGACTGAAAGGTCCCAGGTTTGATTCCGGCCAAGGGCATGTACCTCGGTTGCGGGCACATCCCCAGTAGGAGGTGTGCAAGAGGCAGCTGATCGATGTTTCTCTCTCATTGATGTTTCTAACTCTCTATCCCCTCTCCCTTCCTCTCTGTAAAAAATCAATAAAATATATAAAAATAAAGTAAGAATCTAAAATTAAAAAAAAAAAGAAAATATGCTATGAAAAACCTAATAATGTTATTTTGTACACAAATCAATCACTGCTTCAGATAGAGGGGGGCAGTCATTTTCACCAGAATAAGCCCCATTCTTTCTTTGTGGTGACCTTTCAAGGCAGTTCCAAAAAAATGAGGAACATTCTGGCATAGACACACAGAAGTGCCATAGAAATGCTCAATAATTCTCAATTAAATAAGCCTATGATTGGCGAAATGCTTTAGTCATGAAGTACCCATATTCATAATACTGTATTTAAAAAAAAGAAAGGCAGATCATTTCCTTAAATTGAGAGTGGCCACCTTGAGAGAAAGGCCACGTAAGCTGGTGTGTTAAATAGTTACTATTTAGAGAGGATGATTTTAACTACCGACTCGGTATTTAAATGGCTAGTACCATATTGTAATATCAGAAAATAAACCTGAAACAGTTGATTAGATGCTATGATACCTAAACTACTTAAAATCAAGAAGGCAAATCTCATTCCTCATCATTGACTAGTAAAACTTCTAAAATGTGAAACAAATTTTATGAAAAGGCTGCCTCCTGAAGAAGGAAACCAACGTTAATGAAAACACCTGAGAGGTCCTGGATTTTAGGGAAGAAGTCAGTTACAAGAGAATGAATGTCTTTTTGTTGTGATTAACTAGTTAAAGTGATTACCTTTACACAGGGTCAGGAAAATAATGTTTTTCTTTATTTGGAGACTATATCTAAAACAGCCGTGGGCAAACTACAGCCCACGGGCCGGATCCGGCCGTTTGAAATGAATAAAACTAAAAAAAAAAGACCGTACCCTTTCATGTAATGATGTTTACTTTGAATTTATATTAGTTCACACAAACACTCCATCCATGCTTTTGTTCCGGCCCTCCGGTCCAGTTTAAGAACCCATTGTGGCCCTTGAGTCAAAAAGTTTGCCCACCCCTGAAAAAACTTAGTATAAAACAAACAACAACAGAAAGGTAAACTACCATATATCATTCTAATGCTTCCTATTTTTCCAGATCCATGTTATCTAAACATCTCACCTGCTATTTTTAATGTTCTTCCACTAACCTTCCCAGTGGGCCCCATTTGGAAAGAAGAGAGTTACTATGAGACCCTTTGAAGGCATGTTTCAATGTTTATGGGATAGCAGTTCTAGGAGCTTAGCATTGAATGCCCTCTGGCAAAGGAGACTGACAAAGGAGGAAAGGAGAGAATGCAGATGGTGGGGACTGTTCAGGTGGTTAATGTTAAGAGGAAAGAAGAGAGTGTACAAGGAAAGAAAGATAAAAGTAAAGCAAGTGCACTGGAGGATTACAGAAACAGCTCTATCAATAAAAAGACCCTTTGACTTTTGTGCCTCAAAATGCCCAAGTCTTTGAACATTCCATACAGCAAGTCAACTTTGTTAAAACTGTTAGCTACTTGCTTGCTATTCCATTTGTGAACAAAACCCCACTTAATAGTTACTAATAACCGTATTTTTAGTGTCACTAGGACTTAGAAATCATGCACTTTGATGTTTTCCAACATGTTACATTATCCTGTCTTTCTTATTCTTTAAAATATGAGAAACTTCTTTTTCACTACTCTTGCCTAAACTAAAAACCGTGAATCAATTTCTAAAAACATGAATGACATTACTTATCTGAAGCTACCCAAATGAGGAGCAAAAGGTATGCCATACTTATCACTGAGTGGTTTTCCTGGATGAAATCTAACTTATGCAAATACAAAAAGTATTTGAAAAAGTTCTGGTACTTAAAAACTATGCTATTATTAATGTCTTTCCAATTTTCTTTACTGGCTTCAAAGAAGGATAGCATTTAGGCGGATGTTGTCTGTGTGCCTGAATAACTTTGAACTGTCAGCTATATTTAAAAATCAGTCCCTAGCTGGTTTGGCTCAGTGGATAGAGTGTCAGCCTTCAGACTGAAGGGTCCCAGGTTCGATTCCAGCCAAGGGCACATACCTGGGTTGTGGGCTCGATCCCCAGTGGGGGGCGTGCAGGAGGCCATAAACATAAATTTATTTTTATAGGCCGATCAATGATTCTCTCTCATCACTGATGTTTCTATCTCTCTCTCTGAAATCAATAAAGAAATATATTTTAAAAAATATTTAAAAAAAAAATAATAATAAAAAAAATCAGTACAAATTCTATTTGAATAAAGATGTACTGAAGAGGCTGACGTTGGTCCCTAGGCTGACTCTGAAGCAGAGATGTCAATTTCTTTGATAAGAGGACAGCAATGCTGCTTCCCAGTAAGATTATGGTTCACGGTGAGAATATACTGACTGCCACATTACAGTCATTGTCTCCACAAGACAGTGTAAGCATGAGAAAGCGCTAACAAATACTTTGTACCATGGAACACACACAAAAAGAATGGCATTCTTTCATAATAAGTAGAATTGCTGGGCAAAGAATATAAGGAGCGCAAGAAGTTTATGAGACCCATGGATATGGTGACTGCTAAAACAGGCACCACAAGAGGTAAGATAATTTAAAGTAACAATTAAAAAAAAATCCATTACCAGGTGTTTGGCAAACAAAGATATCTAAAAGAAAAACAAACCTAAGAGTTTTCACAGGATTCTGTGAAGCTTTTGGGGGGAGGAGGAGGCAGTGCATTTGTAAGGAAATTAGGCTTCTATGTAAGATATCCTTAATATATAAAGAAATATCTATAGAGAACTCCAACTTATAACATTTCCCCACTAAAGATGTAAAGTTAAACCATGTTACTCATGTTAAGCATGCCACTCCTAAGCAACAGCTATAGTTACCTGCACCCATAATTTATAAAAAGAAATTTGATTTAGTATATTGCTTTAAGGGAATAAAGGACATTCACACTTTCCAAATTGTAAGAAAAAGAAATAGTTACAGAAAAAATATTAAGAATAAAAACAAACATTAATTTTTAGTGACTTCCTGAATGCAATGTCTGGTCTGCCTAACTTGACACAGGCTAATCTACTGTCAACCTCCCACCTGCACACACGTGCACAGGAGTGCTGCTGTTCTTGGGAAACCCTAACAGATGGGCAGTAGCTAATGACAAAAGGTGCATGGGAAAAGTTTAATTGAAGTTTAATAATTAGAATAACCAAGTAAACAAAACAAACTTGGAATAGGAAATAAAACACCTGGAAAAGGCTTTGCACATTTTTAGCAATGTCTGCATTTTAAACCCTTGCAAATTGAAAACCCAATGCTAAGTGTGAATTTTAGATGGGGAAAAAATTACATCCAGTTTTTAAACACGTAAGTGTTCTTTGGCTTACCTTAAAAAAATTGTATTCAATTTAACAAATATATAAGCACACATATGTTCATTTTCCTTTGTGCCTACCCTCCTACACCCTCTCACACATTAATTTGTTTCAGTGGACAGGAAACGCACCATATCCCCCTGCCTGGATGGGTGTTTTTGGAGAAGCACAAGCATATAGACTAAAATCCTCTGTTTGGAAGCCAGCCCGATTCAAGGAGGGTTCTGATGCACTGCGGTGAATTTTTGGCAATGAGCGGGCCAACAGCTCAATAGAGGCGAGAATCTAAAAAAAAAAAAAAAAAAGAAAGAAAGAAGAATGAAAATCTAGGTGGTATTAATCTTCAAGACCCTCATCATACTTTACAGGAAAGCATCTAAAATCTTACATAGACATTCAACATATTTTAAGGTAAAAAGAAACAAGTTATGACTTTTCAAGGCATACAGTGTGGTAATGTATGTACATAAACATGAGACATACATAAAGGGCTTAGTACAATGCCTGGTATATAATAAGTACAATGCCTGGAGAGATAGAAACATCAATGAAAACTTTAGCAGCTATTATTATTACTATTATTATTTTCTGAGCTACCAAAAACCTTAAAAAATATATTTTTATTGATTTCAGAGGGGAAGAGAGAGATAGAAACATCAATGATGAGAGAGAATCATTGATCAGCTGCCTCCTTCACGCCCCCTACTGGGGATTGAGCCTGCAACCCGGGCATGTGCCCTGACAGGGAATCAAACCTTTAACCTCCTGGTTCATAGGTTGACGCTCAACCACTGAGCCACACAGACTGGGCCTAACTATTTAAAATTAAACTATAATCTGTATAATAGTTAGAATAAAGGTAAAGAAATAGCAATGTTATAATTTTTTTTTTAAATTACAAGCATATCTCCTGGCTTGTTTGGCTCAGTGGATAGAGCGTCGGCCTGCAAAGGGCATGCAGGAGGCAGCCAATCAATGATTCTCTCTCATCATTGATGTTTCTATCTTTCTCCCTCTCCATTCCTCTCTAAAATCAATAAAAATATGTAAAAAAATTATAAGCATATCACACAAATAAAAATTCAAATAATATGGAAAAGTATAAATCTTACCTTCCAGGGGTAACCACTGTTAAAGAGTCTATACTTTCTTCAGGACCTTTCTTATGCATAAACATGCACATATGTAAACAGAGCCCACCCTCACACTCACCAGCATTTAAAGTAGTGTCACACATTTTCCTGTGTTGCTTGTTCCCTTATTGATATGCATGCCATCTGCAGAGCCTACCTTGACCTTTATGTCTTTACTTTTCCCTTTAACACTGCATAAACATTCTTGTACATATCTGAATACTTGTGGAAGCAGGTTCTTTAGTACAGGTTTTTACGAGTGGAATTATCAAAGCAAAGGGTATATGTAATTTAAGCTTATGGATTTTACCAAGTCCTTTCAAAAGTCCTAACCAATTTACATGCACTAACACTGTTAAACTTAAAAGGGAGGCTCTTCCCCCTTCCCAACACTGTGCCCCATGCTGGCTATTGCCAATTAAGGGCAAAAATAAAAAACAGATTTCACTATTGTATTACTCTGCATTTTAATGACTATCACTGAACTCTTATAGTCCTAAGTTCATTTACCATTCGGATTTCTTTTGTGAATTGTCAGTTCATATCATCTGCTTATTTTCTATTGATTATCTTTTATTTATTGAATACAGGCCTGTTGCACAAGAGATTCGTGCAATAGGCCTTCCCTTCCCTTGGCTGCTGGCACTGGTTTGCCTCTGGCACCCGGGACTCAGGCCTTCGCTCTGGCCGGGCTCCGGCTGGAGCTGGCCCTGGAGCCGTCAGGCTTTGCTGCTCCGCCCTGGGGCCGTCAGGCTTCGATAAGCTGCTTGGAGCCTGTGTATGCAAATTAACCGCCATCTTTGTTGGGTTAATCTGCATACTCTCCTGATTGGCTGGTTAGTGTAGCAAAGGTATGGTCAATTTACATGTTTGTCTATTATTAGGTAAGATTGAAGGAGCCTTTTGTATACTATAAATATTTAATCTTTGTTATACATGTTATAATTATTTTTCTCTGTGTTTATCTTTCAATATTATTTTTACTATATAAAAGTTTAAAATCTTTTAATGGAATCATACCTGCTAATCTCCTTTATAACTTCTGGATTTTGTCTCTTATTTAGGAAAGCCTTTCCTACTACCTCAAGGTTATAAAAATGATTTCATTTTTTATAGTTTTGTTTTTAACATGTAAATCTTTAGCTACTTGAAATTTATGTTTGTGTATAGTGTGAAAAGAGATCCTCTAATGAAAACTAAAAAATAGTACTTAAAAGGGGCTTCAATAATCTGGAAAATTCATGTATGCATTTCATTTTTTGATACCATGAAAAGAATGAAATGTTACTTATATTTAGGAATACAGACATCTTAATACTTAAAATACTTTTTAAAAAAGTGGGCCTGCCAAAGCCGGTTTGGCTCAGTGGATGGAGCGTCAGCCTGCGGACTGAAAGGTCCCAGGTTCGATTCCGGTCAGGGGCATGTACCTTGGTTGCGGGCACATTCCCAGTAGATGTGCAGGAGGCAGCTGATAGATGTTTCTAACTCTCTATCTCTCTCCCTTCCTCTCTGTAAAAAATCAATAAAATATATTTAAAAAAAAAAAAGTGGGCCTAAGTATATAATTTGCATTATGAACGTATATCAACCATGTTAAATAGCAAACTCTAGCACTTGGGATGTGAAAAGAAGATGGTGTGGGGTCCTGCTGACACTGGCCAACAATATGGACTTTACTTTGATATTCTTAAAGCAGTGATTTTCTGGGTAAACACACACACACACACACACACACACAAACAACTCTTCCTCAAAAGAAGAGTAATTTAGAATTCCAATTTGTAAAACATGTATCTATCCAGCCAACTAGTTAGCATCCCCTCCCTGCTCTGAGACAGCCCCTCAGAGATTTGATAAAACTATAAATTCCATCTTTAATTCTTGAGATGGGGATAAAAGATTCACTCATTCCTGTAACAGTGGCCTTTGTCTAAGAAACTCAGTTAAGGCTGGGTATTCAAAAGCATAAGTTTAAAAAGGACCAACTCGGTAATTATGGTAGTTGAGTAACTGTGGGAATCAGCACTTCTATTTGAAAACTGTATTTTGATTAATTGAGATACATTTATACAGTGTTGCCAGGAACTTCCTAAGCATCATAAAACACTGCCAGTGGGATGCTATGTTACAATATCTACTATAACTAACTTTCTAAGCTTATTCAGGTAATTAGTTCCAGTTTGTGAGGCTTATTGAAAGATCATTAACTTAAGGGCTTTAGCTTTACAGCATAAACAGGTAAAAAGCAATGGAAAATTTCCAAAAATCAGAGAAAGGCAGCCAGTGCTGACAGCTGCCATTTCCTTTAGCCCCAGGTGGAAATGCCCCTCAAAAAGGCCTAGTACTAAAGGGAAGTTTGGAATCTGTTTATTTTACCACCAAAAAAAATTAAAGTAGCAATTCTCAAAGTGTGGTCTGAAAAACGATTTTCATCATAAACTAAGATATTATTTGCCTGTTACTGTCATTGTTTTATTTATTTATTTTTATTTTTTACTTTTTCAAACATACTTTTCATTGATTTTTTACAGAGAGGAAGGGAGAGGGATAGAGAGCTAGAAACATCGATGAGAGAGAAACATTGATCAGTTGCCTCCTGCACACTCCCCACTGGGGATGTGCCCGCAACCAAGGCACATGCCCCTGACTGGAATCGAACCTGGGACCCTTGAGTCCGTAGGCCGACGCTCCATCCACTGAGCCAAACCAGTCAGGGCTGTTTTATTTTTTTTAAATTAATCCTCACCTGAGGATATTTTTCTCATTGATTTTCAGAGAGAGTGGAAGGCAGGAAGGGAAGGCGGGGAGGGGGGGGGGGGGGGGGGGAGAGGGGAGAAGAAAAGGAGAAAGAGAATGAGAGAAAGAGAGAGGGGGAGGAGGAAACATCGATGTGAGAGACTCATCAACTGGCTGCCTCCTGTATCCAGGTACATGCCCCTTGACTGGGAATTGAATCCATGACCCTTTGTTGTGCGGGCCGGTGCGCTAACCCCTGAGTGATATCAGCCAGGCACTGTCATTATTTTACCCGTGGTAAGTGGAGTTTTCAGAGGCTACATGATATAAGATATTGCATCATAATGAATGCAAACCAGAAAATCCAGCTGTCTTTTTTTTTTTCAGATTTGCAAAAAATGTAAAACAATGTTACTCATTTTTTTTTTGGTTTGGGAAAACATAATTACTTTTCATAAAAAACATTATTTAGTCTGTAACAGTTTTTATTATGTTTAAATAAATTTATAAGTATTTTAAAAACTTAGTTGAAAACATAGTTTTAAATTCTAAAATTGTAATTACTATATAGAAAAGCTCTTTGGGGGGGGGGGGGTGTCTTTAATAATTTTAACGTGTGTAAAAGGGTTGTGAGACCAAAACATTTGAGAATGGTTAGACAAAAATCAAGTCTTTCTGAATAGTGTGACTAGGTTCCCAAGTTTTTAGGTGTGCTGCTGTTCAACCTTTATGAAATCATCTCTGTGTTTACTTATTTGGAGTCTGCACATAATCACATGGGATCCAAACCCATGAAATACAAACTGTGTGCTCTAAAAAGTGCTTAAAAATCTGCATTTGAATATTAGCATGTTCTTTTAGGTAACAAAGTTTTTCTTACTTGGGGAAAGAGTGGTCTCTCATCTCTTTTCTTTTTTAGGCATTCTGCCATTAATCTCTTCATGGCTTTTGGACAGTTACTTCGTACCTTACTGAGATCTGGAGATAGATATCCTCGTCCCACCATAAAAATTATCTGGGAAGAAAAAATAGGCAAATCATAAAACTTGTAATTAGTTAAAAAAGGCATAAAGATTGAAAATTCAACAAGCTATGCACTTAAGACGTGTACTTTTCTGTATGCACATTACACTTCAATAAAAAATTTAATAACATAATACTAATACTATGATGCCTACATATAACTGGGAGCCAATACTTCATGGGCTGCAAACTGAAATCTTCATGACTCCTGGACTACTGTTAAGATCCGCTAATTGCTCCCACGCTCCAGTTGCCTTATCCAATCTATTTTCCACTGGTAGATCATCATTCTAAAACACAGACCAGATTGTGCCTATTTTCTACTTAAATAATTTACTGGGCATCATACTAAGCCCTTTATATATATGTACCAGGAACCAACAAAGTTAACTTTTTAGTTTTTACATCAGCATTTTAAACTCTTTTGGTGAGGAAACTCTAATGGGGCATTTATAGTTATATAAATCTGAGAATCAGAGACTTCTCCAGAAAGAACTAAAGTTCTGTTTAAAAAGTAAAAAGATTTGTCTTCTCTGGGTGCAGAGATTTGTAATTTTTCTAATTTCTTAATTTTCGGCTCTTTCGAAGGTGGACAGAGACAGATGTTAGGAGTCTTGTGACTTAGGGAGGAAAAAGGGATTTTACTCTTAGAGGAACTGGTCCAATAGGGGCAGAATAGAGGCTGAGGTAGAGAGCGCTTTGTTATAGGGCAGAGCTGATAATTTTAAGAAAGTCAAGTTTGATATCCTACTTTATGTTATTTCCCGTTTGATGATGTAATAACCCTTGTTAACTATAAGCTGATTTGGCTAAGCACCACTAAAATGAAAGTATAAAGCTTATTCTTCTCCCCCTTTACAAGTTACCTTTTACCAGTATGGAATTTCACTATGTGCACAGTGCTCCAGGGTGTAAAACTGCTGGGGTACCAAAGGGACACTTCCAAACACAGTGGGGCCTTGACTTACGAGTTTAATTCGTTCCGAGACCGAGCTCGTTAACTCAAATTACTCTATCAACTCAATGCAAAAAATCGGCCAAGAGACAGCTGGTATCTCAAAAAACTCGTTAGTCGGGACACTCGTAAGTCAAGGCCCCACTGTACTGGTGTCTAACTGTGCTCCAATGAATGGGTAACATTCCCTTTACAAGGCAGTTGGTTTGCAATTCTTCGCTTTCAGTAAAATTAATTAAATTGTCAGCTGATTATTAAAATAACTATTAATGACAAGTTATTATGTAATTTTTGGTATGTTCAAGAAATGAATTCAAATAACTGAGTGGTATGGTGTATGGTAAAGAATAATCTTGCCCACGTAGAGGGCTGGCCTTTGCCTCTGGCTCCTGGGAGGTAATCCCTAGCCTCTTGTGCCTGATAAGAGTGTCTTTGTTTACCTGGGGCCCTGGGAGATGTCAGATAGTCTATGCTATGAATGTGATTCATAGAGGGGGCTTAGACTCATGTGGTATCAACTTGCCCTCTGAAAGCTATGGTCGGCCACAGCAGTGGTCAAGCATATCTACGTGACTAAGCCCTAGTAACAACTCTGAATCCCAAGACTCGAGTGAGTTTCTCTGGTTGGCAATATTTCATGTGTGTTGTCACACATTGCTGCCAGGAGTAGTGTTGTCCACAATCCCATTGGGAGAGGACAACTGGAACCTCCAAACGTGGAATTTTCCTAATGCTGCCCTATGTGCACTTTCCCTGGATGGATTTTAATTTGTTTCCTTTTCTTGCAATAAACTACCTGTGACAATTAACAACTTTCAGTGAGTTCTGTGAGACTTAATGAATTACTGAACTAGAAGGTGGTCTTGGGGACCACTGAACTCTGCATACATTATAATGAAACTCCTGATTTTCTTAGCTTCTTACTTATTTGAACAATATTTCTCAGTGCTTATTTCTTTAAAAATAAAACAAGGAAAAGGACTGATGCTAAGTCCAGCTCATTCTAGCAAAAGTCATATTTATCCACAGATAAATAAATTTTAAAAAGCCTCATGTTGTTCATTAAGATACACATTTCCAATAAAATTTTACCTTCAATGTTTCTTAAATAATAAAAACGTATTTTCATCACTTATACATGAATAGTTATTAATAATGGAATAGGTCACAATTAAAAAATATCATTCACAGCTGATAAAAATCATAGGAATATTTTTTAAATTCTAAATTTAAACAGTAATACAAGTAATTCAAAGAGGAAAAAAAGCCATGTAAAACTTCCAAAAATTAATGAAGAGTTTTTGTATTTTTTTAAACAAGTGATGGTAGGCATCAAATCAGCATGGCTTTTAGATTTTATTGGGCACTTTTAAAAGAAGGCTATAATGGCTTTCTTTTGAAATGTTAATATAATACACTGGCAATTACCTTCTTTGCAATTATTTAAACTTAAGAGAGAGTCTTTCTTGGATGTAATTCATGGATAGAAGATTCAAGTGGCACATACACTACTAAATCAGTGGCTTGGTTTGAAATCCTGGGACTGGTTATTTTCATTCTCAATCCACACTCAGCACTCCTGGCATCTCCACCTCTTCATTTACTCCTCTGTATACATCTGTTTATTGTCAGTATCACCCACCTGCACTGCCTCAACAGAACTGTAAACTCCACTGAGTGCTCAGCCTATGTTTTATTCATCTCTGTATCCCTCTATATCCCACAGTGCTTTGCATAAAGTATCAAAAAAATTTTTATTGAAATAATTTTTGTGTTGATAAGACAATGGTACTTATCATTTCCTGTCTCTTGAGATCTTGCGCTTAGTACCTAGCCACCATGCTATGAGAATGTCCAAGTTTCCTATGAAAAAATCCTTACATAAAGACCCAGGTGGAGAAAAACTGAGAACTCTGGCTGGGCTTCCACCTGACAGCTAGTGCCCCCCTGTCAGGTTTGTGAATGAGCCACTTTGGAAGCAGGTTCTTTCTCATTGAATCTACCCCAGATAATACCATGTGAAACAGATAAACCTTCCTCACTGAGAGCAGCCCAAATTGCAGATGCCTTAAGTTGCTTAAGCCACTATGTTTTGGGTGCTTTGTTATACAGCAATAATAACTGGAATACACTAAATAACAGATAAATGTAATGTTATTTTCTTCTAAGATGACATGGCACTTCTGCTCCAAGAAGAGAAAGCCCTGAAGGTAGACAGTTAATATATCTAGCTAATGAGCACATTATACTAGTAAATCTCAACTTAGTAGAGAAGCTGTACTGAAAGAGGGAAGGATACAGTAATAAGAGAACAAACTGGAATCATACAGAGAAAAAAATGACAAAGTAATTTCTCAGATTTCAGCACTAGGGTAACTAAAGTAAAAGGTATTCTACTCTGCAAAGTAACATAGGGCTGGTCATCCCTTAAGGAGCTAAGAGACCTGTTTAAGGAAAGATCCTGATTTTTATTACTGGAAGGAATTCTTTAGTCAAATTTCTTATTTTTATAATTGGAAAACAAACAAACAAACAAACAAACAGATCCACACACAAAACATACACCTAGAGAGGTAATGTGACCAGGTTATGCAGGTTGTGAATCCAGGGTCTGCTACTTTACCAGAGTCCTGCCTTGAATTTACTGCCATTAAAACTGCCACCTCTGACTATAGGGGTGAGAGCATGGGGGAATGGTTTCTGTTATATAGTAATGAAGCAACTTTCTCATCTTCCATGAAAAAGAACAATATTCCTAGATTATCAAGCAAAAGTCAATCTGAGAGCCATGGAGATCAAAGTGTAAGAGAAGGAAAGAAAATCAATCAAAGGGATGGTGTGAGCAATGACTGTGGTTACACTTCATTGAGGATGACTAGAGAGTTAGCAACTCAGAGGGAGTTTCACAGAAAAGTGCCATTGGAAGAAAGCAGACTAGATGATAATGAAGAATGGCAATGGGAAGAATATATCACTCCTTTTTTTTCTTTTAACAGTTTTTGCATTTTTATTTTATTTTATTGGTTTTATAGAGAGAGGGAGAGGGAAAGAGGGAGAGAGAAACATCGTTTGGTCGCCTCCCTTATGCACCCCAACCAGGGATTGAACCACAACCTGGATATGTGTCCTGAATTGAACCCGAAACCCTTCAGTGGATGGGACAATGCTTCAATCAACTGAGCCACACCAGCCAGGGTAGTATATGGTTCTTTTACCTCCATTTTCTTTATCAAATACTTAACTTGGTTTTAGACTGGCAAATTCCACAAGCCTCTAACTCAGCGGTTCTCAACCTGTGGGTCGCGACCCCTTTGGCGGTCGAACGACCCTTTCACAGGGGTCGCCTAAGACCATCCTGCATATCAGATATTTACATTACGATGCATAACAGTAGCAAAATTACAGTTATGAAGTAGCAACGAAAATAATTTTATGGTTGGGTCACAACTTGAGGAACTGTATTTAAAGGGCCAGAAGGTTGAGAACCACTGCTCTAACTGTACTACCAGAAAGAGCTAACTAGTAAAGGCCTTACCCTTCTGTTGGTCACTCACTTATTTCTCTCAGGAAAGGAAGCCCTTGCCACATCACTTATTATACTCACATGGAGGGCAAAGTGCCTAAAATGCCAAGAACCCTGGGATGCTTTCATCCAGATTTTGGAGATAATAATACTTGTTTCCATAATATAATTTTATTGTTTTATTAAAATAAGTATATTCACTGGCAAATGGATGTCATCTAAGTTCACAAATTTTTATTATTTGTAGTTATCTATGGTAAATCAACAAAAACTAAACTATAATTCCCACGTGATTCCTTTAGAGAAATACTTTGCATAGGAAAAGTGAACATGGCACAGGGATTATGCTATGTGGCTGAGGAAATGAGACTGTAAAAGGCAGAGCTCACGAAGCTTGCTAATTAGAGACTATAATCTTGCTACTCAGATTGCCATCATCATGTCTCAGGGATCTAGAATCTGTCACGAGTACAGTAAGTAATATGTTTCAGTTATATCCTTCAGCTAGTATTTTGGTCCATCCTGAATTTAAGTTTCATGCAGGCTTAAAATATCAGATCATCAGAAGCTAGGCCATAGATTTTTCTTAATACTCAAAGCTAAGTTTCAACATTCTAAAGATATGAAATAGTTAAAAAGACCAAACAGAAACTAAAAAATTAGTTTTGTGTTGACTTGGGTAGAAATATAGTCATTAAAAAAAATTTCAAAATATAGAATTAAGACTGCTATTGGGTAAGGGCCACATGGTAATTCAATGAGCACATACCAAGTACATGATAACTTAGATTACTTTTATGACATCACATTGATAGTGGAAGTTCTTAGTGAGAGAGCTACTCAGAGCTATCACCAAAAAAATTGGTAGTTGAGCTCTTGACTAAAACACACACTATTTAATGAAGTAACACATCTATAATAATAAAAGCGTAATAAGCTCGGGCTGGGAGGGAAGCCTGGGTCCCAGGTGCCTGCCGGCAGCCAGGGAAAGGAAGGCCTACTCTTGCACGCATTTCGTGCATCAGGCCTCTAGTTTATGTATAAAACTATCATTTCACTAGGTTGGGAGGTTATGATGAAATGCATAAAATATCTGCACTTTTTAAAAACTCTTTAGATTGGTGATTCTCGACTTTGGTCTGTATCAGAATTCCCTGGGAAACTTATTACAAATGCAGGTACTTGGACCCCATCCCATTGAATCAGAATCTGCTCCAGCATCTCCACTTTTTAAAACAAATTACTCAGGTGATTCTAATACAAACCACAGTATAAAGTATAAATATTATTCTTTTTTGTTGTTGTTAATCCCTACCCAAGAATATTTTTCCATTCATTTTTAGAAAGAGTGGAAGAGAGAGGGGAAGACAGAGAGAAACGTCGATGTGAGAGAAACACATTGACTGGTTGCCTCCTGCATGAGCCCTGACCAGGGTGCAGGCCAAGGAGGAGCCTGCAACCAAGTTATGTGCCCCCTTAACTGGAATTGAGCCAAACCGGCTAGGGCATGTATGAATATCATTTAATCACAGTTTATATGTCAACTATTGTTTTGTAATATATTAACAGTGTGCTGCAATCTATCCCTCTCCTCTCTCTCTCTCTCTCTCTCTCTCTCTCTCTCTCTCTCACACACACACACACACACACACACACACAAATACACACAAACTTACTTTTAAAATGCTGAGGTATACAAGGTAATTTCAGTAAAGACAATTCCTTTTCTTGGCCAGTGTTAAAAGCCTAGGTAAATTTAATATTACTGGGATAGAAAAGGCAAAGAGTTGCATACGGCTACATTAGTACATTTGGAAAGGTAAGGGACAGAGAACAGGTGCTTAGGAAGAGAGGAAGTAAAAATATTCCCTCCTACTAGAATTCTCATTATAGAAAAATGAAAGCATGATGTCACAGTTCTTCCATTTACCTAGTTTTAAAAATAAACAAAATGGAGAAACCTTAATAATTTTAAGAATTTGATATAAAGAAGTTCATGGCTGAGTACCTGCTCAGGTAGCACACTCTGTGATAGAGTGAAATAAAGGTATACAGCCCAGATGTTATAGTAGCAGAGCTTATGTTCCTAACTGTGCCATGGTCAAGAAACATGAGGTACAGTCATTGTTGTGTCTCTAGTTTCAGAAGATCAGGAATTTCACTCCATTACACTTAATTAAGAATGAAGCCCAGCTGGTGTGGCTCAGTGGTTGAGCATTGATCCATGAACCAGGAGGTCACGGTTTGATTCCAGGTCAGGACACATGCCCCAGTTGCAGGTTCGATCCCCAATAGGGGGCGTGCAGGAGGCAGCCAATTGATAATTCTCTCTCATCATTAATTTTTCTCTCTCCCTCTTTCCCTCTCTCTCTCTCTCTGAAATCAATAAAAACATATTTTTAAAAAGTCTCTTTCTGTAATGTATTGACTTAAAAAAAAAAAGAATATTTCAAGGAAAGGCCTTACATGCTGCTATTACTATCACAAGTATTCAAAAGGTATTTAAACTGGTGACAAGGACCCAGAGGTCTATCCCTCATATGTATCCAGGACTTAACACTTCTTTTCTACAATGAATTGAAACTTGATGTAAATAGTAAAATAAACCCTAAGAGATGGTAAATATTTACCTGGTCCCTGTTGTTGATGTTTGAATAAGGTAACTGTCCAGTCATCAATTCATACAGAACAATCCCAAATGCATATACATCTGACTGAAAGCTATAAGGGTTTTTGTCTTGCATTCTGATTACTTCTGGTGCCTGTTAGAACATAAAAAGAAAAATATTCTTGTTTATTCTTTACTTCAACTGAATAAAGACTGAAAACCAAACTATTATGAATCCCAGAAAAAATGCTTTTAATCATTAAATAACCCACCGAATATGTAATTAATTCTCTTATTAATGGTCAAAGAAATATAACTGATTAAGAAAGTAAAAATATACCCTGTAAACTCTAAAAGAGGCAGTGTTAGCTGAGATTCTATCTGTATTACTAATATTTTTATAATTTTAGCAGCTGCCCTCTTTGTACAAAAAATATCATCATTGCTATTTGAATTCTTCCCTTGACTTACCTACCAAGAATCAGTTCCTATTTCCCAATCATGATTCAGCAAATAAATACTATACCTGTGGTTGTAAGATGTTTGGGAGTAGCACAACCACTTTGGCAATTGCCTTAGAATTTAAGTTTTCTCATTGGTACAAATGATTCTCCTCATCTCAGGACACCTTAGACAATAATGGCAAAATTTCAAGACTGATAAACTCAAATCCCTTTCCCGCCTCCAAAAGTGGTATAAACATGCCAAAGATGTCTTATTAACAAAAGCAATAGGCAGTGGGTAGATTTAATAGAAGGTGGTATGAAGAATCTTTTCGCTGCTTGCTTCTTGGGCAAAGATATAGACCAAATCATATTTGCTACATACATTTTTGTACATTTCAGTCACTGTATTCTACAGGTAGATTTCTTATTGGCTACTTACTTGAAATACAACAAATGGTTGGTTAAATATTAGCTTTAAACAATTCGTTCACCTTGAATCTTCTGTATTGTTTCATTTGGAAGGAATCAAAGAAATTGAAGGGTATTAATAAAAACTCTGTGAAAAACCAAGACTAACTGTAAAAAGGCTGAAAGACCTGGGACAAGAGTCCTGGTCACTGGTCAGAGTAAGGCAAGTCAGACAATCTCACAAGGCAGGGAATAATGGCACTGAGCCTCACCTGGAAATCAGAATCACCTCGGCAGCCTTAAACCTTTCAAGGTCCAGACTGCATTCCTGCCCAATAACACAACATTAGAATCTGGTTAGTTTTTAAAGCTCCCCAGATGTTTTTAATGCTCAACCAAAGTTGAGAACCACTGATGGAAGATGTGTGGGAGGGAGATCCTGATAAGAGTGAAAGGATGGGGGTGAAGGGAAGGTTGTATCTACTTGTTTTTGTCTTACACTTTACTGATATTACTTTCACAGTACAAAATAAACCACATACAACTGTGATGTAATGAACAAGCCAGAAAACTAAGAGGCTGGGTTATGATACAAACATAATTTTCAAAGCTAGAACACAATTTCTGTGAGGGACAGAGTAATAAATCAATTGAAAAGTTGCCTTTAAAATTTAGTTTTACCTCACTGTTGTTGGTAGATGACTTGATAAAAAGTTGTATGTCATCTATTTACAAATTATGCATTATTAATCCTCAGTTAATTTTGGTGTTTTAATTTCCAAAACATTTTTTTACAAAGTTTTCTTTCTCTTCTAAGCTATAAATAAAACAAGGCTGAGAAGACTATTGTAAATAATTCAGAGAATTATATAACCTTAGTTCTGACCAAACTCTTCTTTCCTAGACTATGGATGTTCTAAATTTGTTTCTGAAGGCAATATCAACCCAAAAAGATTTATTCAACAATTAAATGTACTATTGGCTAATCTCTCATCTTAAAACTTAGTTTGGGGAAATAAAAGATGAACCCATCTATCCAGGTATCAACAAAAAAGAAACTATAACAAAATATAAAACTTCATGTATAATAATCCACTAAGGTCTTTGAATAAAGACAAACCCAAACACTTGACTGAGCCTCTCTCTCCCACACTAGTTTAAATAAATAGACCTCTAAAACGTGTATCAATTATTTCTTTATAATTTTAATGATTTTGCAATTTCAGTACTTAAGAATCTGTTGCACGCCCCCTCCCCCCCTTAGGATACACTGCCGTCTTTTTTAAAAGGTGTGTACCTTAAAGGTGCCTGAGATTTGCATTATAATTACTAATAGCCTCTTGTTTATAATTATGTATTAAAACAAACACATATTAAAGAAAAATTCTTCTTAGCTCTAAATACTGAATCTTAGAAATAGAAATGGCTTTAGAAATCCACTAGTCCAACCCAACATTAAAGATGGAGACTTGGAGGCAGTTAAGAAAGGTGCAGGTAAGAGTCACACACAACATTACAGTACACACCTCCTAACTCTAAGTCCAATCCCCCTCCCACCTTGCAGCTTGCCCTAATTTCAGTTATTACAAGAAATCATAGCTCAATTTAACCCCAGGCTTATCTGGACTAATTCAGAATCCTACCTTGTAATTCCTTTCTTGGAGACTGATACAGAGAGTTCAAAGAATTTAGACAAATGTGGCTTTGAAAGCCCCTTCTTTTCTGTTTCCAGTAGGGTGTCCCAAAGTGCACATTCTGTTATTAAAAATTGCACTAATAGTTTTGGGACACCCTGCATTCAGCTTAGAGCAGCAGTTCCCAAACTTTTTGGTCTCAGTACTCATTCAGTCTTGAAAATTACTGAGGCCCTAGCCAGCTTGGCTCAGTGGATAGAGCGTCGGCCAGCAGACTGAAGGGTCCCGGGCCCAATTCCGGTCAAGGGCACATACCTGGGTTGTGGGCTTGATCCCCAGTGTGGGGCATGCAGAAGGCAGCCGATCAATTATACTCTCTCATCATTAATGTTTTTATCTCTCTCTCCTTCTCCCTTCCTCTCTGAAATCAATAAAAATATGTTTAAAAAAAGAAAATTACTAAGAACCCCCAAGGAGCTTATGTATTATATCTGTGGATAAATAATCATATTAAAACTAAACTGAGAAACTGTTAAAATATTTACTAATTCATTTGAATAATAAAACAGCAACCAGTAGATGCTAACACAAATCACACATTTTTAATGAAAAGTAACTATATTTTCAAAAACAAAAAAACTTTAGTGAGAAGAATAGTCCTACAATTCTTTTTGACTATCTGGTTTAGCAGCAGCCAGCTTGTGTCATATACTTTGCTTCTGCATTCAATCTGGTGTGATGTTCTGGTTGAGGAATACGAAGAACAATCTGGGCTCACACAAGGATGACCTTGGGAATTTCTAAAAGGGTCTTGGGGGGCCTTTTGAGAATTACTGCTTAGAGAATGATTCCTAGACTGTCCCCATAGCCTGCTGAAGGTAACTACACAGAAGTTTTGGTTCCTTTCTTTCATATGTTCTCTTTCTTCTTTGGTACAAAGTAGAAATAGAAATAAAGAGAAAGAGCCCAGCCAGTACGGCTCAGCAGTTGAGTGTCAACCCAGGAACCAAGAGGTCACTGGTTTGGTTCCTGGTCAGGGCACGTGCCTGGGTTGCGGCTCAAACCCTAGTAGGGAGCATGCAGGAGGCAGCCAATTGATAATGTTCCTCTGTCATCAATGTTTCTATCTCTCCCTTCCTCTTTCTAAAAGTCAATAAAAATATGTAAGAAAAAAAGAGAGAAAGAAAGACCTATGTAGGGCAGCACAAAGCGTACAGTGTTAAGAAATCTCTCATTTTTTTTTTGTCTCTCCTCTCCCAGGTGCTCCATAATTATATGGTTCTTTCTAGTCTAAATAAAGTAACTCCAATTTAGGCTTAAATAAGACTGTGAAATAGCCTCTCCTCTTCCTTTTACAAAAAATATTTTAAAATCAATTTTTTTGAGAGAGGAAGGGAGAGGGGGAGAGAGAAACACTGATGTGAGAGCCCTCATGCACGCCCCCTACTGGGAATTGAGCTGCAACCCGGGCATGTGCCCTGACTGGGAATCATACTGCTAACCTTTCAGCACACAGGACGACGCCCAACCTGATGCCCAACCAAGCCACATGGGCCAGGAGCAGTTCTCTTCACAAACCTTAATAATGGTTGCAGATCACACATGCTTAAATTGAATACTTTTTTTTTTTAAACTGGAAACAAGGAACATTTGGAACACAAAATATTTTAGAGACAATTTTAAATAAAATATAAACAGTGTTTAAAAAACATATTTTTGTTTGAAAGATACTGAAACTAGTTTCATAATATTCTTTTTAAAGATAAACAAAAAAGTTAAGATTTATTTACATAAAAAGATAAGATGAATGTTGACTTTTGTGAACACTGGGAACTATTAAAATACTATAGTTGAAACCTTCAATGACTTTCTAGTACTCAGTAGCATCTCAGGGTCCCAAAAATTAATGTAAAAAGGCCTCAATTCTTACCATCCACAGAATGGATCCAGACAACTGTTCAAACTGATGGGACCCACTCCATCGAGATTTCACTGTGGCTAGCCCAAAGTCACCTATTTTTACAGTGAGGTCTTCATGAAGAAAAATATCTGTGGTGTAGTAAGTAAAGGAAAACAATAGATCTCATTTTCCAATTAGAGCAAGCATTATGAAATTTAGGTAAGAGATCTAATTTCTATAATTCTGTAATATGAAATTCTTTGAAAAAAGATGTAGCACTTTATATATTAATTAGGTCTATTTGGCCTGTATGACCTGCTTTTAAGGTTTTGAGGGCTTGAAATGAGGTAGAGTGAGGTGAGATGCTTTCCTATGTGTATGGGAGACCCTGAAACTTCCCACAAGATTTTAGTACCATAGGCCCAAATATCCTTTTGGCACTGCTGGGGAGTGGTAAAGGCTCTTCACTGGAATGCAGGTGGTTGGCAGACAGGATCTTAATCTAAGTTTATGGAAGAGGAAAAAATATGTTTTTCTCACCTCATGTTATCCGTAACTTAGAGCCTTCAGTTACATCTTACCTACTGCTAAGCAAGGTCAGAGTGCTAAAAGGAAATAGTAGATAACTACAAACTACCTGTTTTCCAGTGCTGATAGAACGTAAGCAAGCAATCAAAAAGCCCTACTATCATTAAGATTTCATAGATTTTTGTTGTAACGCTCAATTGTTCACAAACCAAAAGCAGGTTATAGTACCTTGTTCTACTACACTCTCATGCAAACCCATTTATTAATTCTCTTTACAGTACATTGAACTTAGCATGAAACTGTTTTTACATAATGTGAAGATAAAATGCAGAAGAAAAAGTCAGGATGTTTTCAAACTTCGCAGACAAATTTCAGGAAGGATACTATTACTCTTGAGGTCTCTGTGGATGATTGACTTGGCGTGTAAGTAACTGAAAAACAAAACATCATTTTAACCTGAGTAGGGCTAAATACTCTGGCCTCAAATTTTATAGAACATATTTAGGGGTATAAATAAAGATGTGTTTAGAATCATGATACAACTGCAAACTGTACAATGTGATAACCCCTTTACATAAGAAATATTAAAATAGACTGTAAATGAATTTAGGATTAGAGGAACATATCACTAATAACTAATATGGTACAGCCAAAATTTTGTTTTCCACTAAAAGACTTTGCTTCGTCTTTTACTATTTACCAATACAAACCTTTCACTCCAGTCAAGCCTAGTTATCCATGTCCTTTAAATATACCTTAAATATCCCCTCCTACACCCATCCCTCAAATTAGTTTCGTTCTATTCTCTACCTATTCATACCACTCCTTTAAGATTGAATATACAATCTAACTCCTGGGTGAAGCTTTCCTATGAGTAACTCAACTGTAAGGGATCTTTCACTGTTCAGTTTTATAGAAATTATTGGAACAGCTTGATTCAATAGTTTTTTTTCCACCTATGTTCATTTTCTATTTAGAATGTAAAACTCTACTAGAATATGAAAGTTTGATTGATAAAATCATTCTAAAAGGTAGTATTAATATATTCTTAAAATGCCTTCTTAAAACTAATGTGTAGCAAACTCTCTCTATAGTAGCTTTAGTTAAGTTCATTGAGGGAAAAGGGCTGGGCCTAGTTTATTTCTGTTTATCCCCAGTGCCGAGTACAGTGCCTGGCATAAAGCATTTAAAACACATCAGCTGAATCAACTACATTGAGATGAATATAATGTCCTAGTCAAGGTTATTTTTCTTCATTTAAAGCTGGAGAAAACAAATATATGAGACCGCTGAAATTTGACAATGACTATTAGGAAGTAAGTTTTGCTTTAAAATGAGATTATAACGTCACTGTTAAAAATAGGTTTGTAAATCATTAAGCTTATAATTTATACTTTATTTTCATCTAAGCTTCCACATCCTCTCAGAGAATAAGATTTTGATACTTTTCAGACTAAGTTTTCATTTCAAACTACTGTTTATACAAAGTAACCCCTCCTCCTCCAATTACTCTGACTTCACACTATTTCCTTCAGAGCTTTTACCACAATGTAAAATTATCTTTTCACCATGACTTTTTAGGCCCAAAGTCGTTTCACAACACAAAAGTTTACTTAGAACCCAAAGTTCTGCAGTGACACAGAAAGAAAAAAACATATGGCATCATAGCCAGTTTGGCTCAGTGAATAGAGTGTCCACCTGTGGACTGAAGGGTTGAGGGTTTGATTCTGGTCAAGGGCATGTACCTTGGCTGAGTTGGGGCGAGTGCAGGAGGCAACCAATCAATGTGCCTCTCACGTCAATGTTTCTCTCTCTCTATCTCTCCCCCTCCGTTCCACTTTCTCTAAAAATCAATGGAGAAAGCCCTAGCCCATTTGGCTCAGAGGACAGAGCGTTGGCCTGCGGACCAAAGGATCCTGGGTTTGATTCCGGTAAAGGGCACGCACCTTGGTTGCAGGCTCCTCCCCGGCCTGGGCCCTGGTCAGGGATCCAGCAGGAGGTAACCAATTGATTTGTTTCTCTCACTTTGATGTTTCTCTCTGTCTTTCCCTCTCTCTTCCACTCTCTCTCTAAAAAAAAAAAAAAAAAAAAAAAAATCAATGGAAAAATATCCTCGGGGGGGGATTAACAAAAAAAAAACAAAACAAAACAAAAATCAATGGAAAAAATATCCTTGGGTGAGGATTAACAAAAAACAAATTAAAAAAATATGGAGAAAAATAGGTCTCAATCAAATGCATTTTCTAGATGGGAGACCTTGTCTCCATTAGAAGAAGGGGGATAAATGAGACAGTGTGTGTGGCGGAGCTCTGTGCTTCAGAGGGCTGGTGTTTAGCCACAGAAAGGTGTTAGTGTCTGAAGAAGTTCTGTCTCCTTTGAAATTAAAAAAACAAATGTGTGGGAGGAACCAAGATGGCAGCATAGGTAAACACCTGAAATTGCTGCCTCGCACAACCACTTCAAAAATACAACTAAAAGACAAAACGGACATCATCCAGAACCACAGGAAGGCTGGCTGAGTGGAAATTCTACAACTAGAAGGAAAGAGAAAAGCACACTGAGACTCAGAGGAGGTGCAGAAGTAAAGTGCAGAGGTACGGAGGCGCACGCGGAAAGGGTTGGCAACTGAGGACGTGGTTGTCTTTTTCAATCGGGAGGGAGATACAAGCTCCCGAAAGCCCTGACTCCAGTTCCAGGCAAGTCTCTGAGGACCCAGACTCATACGGGGAGAAACTGGACTGTCTGGCAGCGGGTGGAACTCAAGGGTGGCTTTCTCTCAGAGGTGCTTGCAGCAATTACCGGGACACTGAGACCCGGGGCCTCTTAGGGCAGGACTGAGGATC